CAGCTGGAATCCATAGCTGTGCATGTTCATGGAGCTTGCATTTTCAACTGCTGGACATCACTATCTGTAAAGTTTAACTGTCTTCAGAACATTGCAGAAGCCTTATTGACATTTGGCTCTACAGAACTGTGTGAGCAGATTTTCTCTCAGACGAAGGGCGTCCTCAGGTAACCGTCTGAATGCTGGACACTCAGAGACCTGTGTCTCTGAGTGGGAGACCAGAGATCACATTAACATGTGTATCTCTGTATTAACAAACATGCCATATTGGCCCAGTTTATTTTTCTTATTATTGTTGTGAGGAGACCATAAATAGCATTTGTATTTTCTGTTGTACAGTTTATTTGCTGTTATGGATAGAGATGGACCGATCCGATATTAAGTATCGGTATCGGTCCGATACTGACGTAAATTACTGGATCGGATATCGGAGAAAAATAAAAAAATGTAAGCCGATCCATTAAATATCAAAAAAGCACCTCACAAAACTTGCGACATGGCGTAACTCGGCTCATAACCGTAGCACATCAGTACGGGTCACGCGATAGAGCGGCTGTGTGTATTTGTAGCCTCGCTAGCAATCCGGCATTTCATCTCCGAGGAAGTTATCCCAGAGAGAAGTAAAGCAAGTGTGTAAGTTCATCTCTGAATGTTTGTAAAGCATTCCAGCGTTAAGCTTAACAACCCATATATGGAGCGACTGCCTCTTCTCTCCCCCTCCCTCTCTTGCTGCTACTTCAATCATGAAACTGCTTAATGATCAGCTGATCGGCTTTTCTGTCGAGAGTCCGTCTCTCTTGTTTGTTTATTGCTCACTTCGGGCCAGAAAGAGGAAACCAGCGGCTGAACAACAGCAGCACGTTTAAGCTTGATAAGCTGTTGTTAGAATTTATTTATTATTACTTTCTACACCAGGATCCTTTTCTACGTAGCTGACTGTGCAGGGGCGGATCTAGCAAAGTTTAGCCAGGGGGGCCGATAGGGCATTAACAGTGAAAAGGGGGGCACAAAGACATACTTTTCTTTCTTATTCTCATTTAAAATGTCTAGCTTTTAATAAATAATTATCCGAATTTTACACCCAAAGTTTTAATCTGATGTAAAATGTATAGAAGTCCATTACTGTATATAGTAACTATTAAGTCCAATATACCCTAGTAAGCTATAGTACTTTTTCCTTTGGGAAGATACCATTTGTTCAGTCTGCAATTCTGTTGAAGAAAGATGTTGAATCTATTTAATTATTCTTGAAAAATAACTGATTTCTGTGTATTTTTTTTTCACACTGCATCAAATTATAGTTGATTACGTCAATTAAGCATCATGAGGTGGAGGGTGGGTGGTTCCCTATTTTTTTTTTGCTGGGAGTTTTAGAACCCTATTAGTTAGGTTGCTTAATGTTTCTGCTAATTACTCTTTAAAATACCAGAATAGGGAGGATGGTGTAGGTTTAAGTTTATTAGATTGATCAGTATTGCTGAACTATGAAATATTTTGGGTGCAGTGCATTTTTTGCATACAGGTACAACAGAATAGCTTTAGTGTTTGTTTTTTAACTTGAGTATGAACTTATACAAAAAGCAGCAAGATATTTAAAAAACTGTTTTATTGATTAAAAAATACACTATATCGGATTCATATCGGTATCGGCAGATATCCAAATTTATGATATCGGTATCGGTATCGGACATAAAAAAGTGGTATCGTGCCATCTCTAGTTATGGAGTTCTTGTTATGGATAAAAAAAGTGTCTTTTTTGAGTGTTTCAAATATAGCTTATAACTATTTCCTGATAGCTGCCAACATCTGCGAACAAATATAATTCTATAAAGTTGTTCTATATAGTCTGTAACTGTTAGTATAGACGGTTATTAAATTTATTGCTAATGCAATCATATGGCATGTTGACTTCTGAGGAAATTTTAGATGGCACTCATCATCAGAAAGGTTACCGACCTCTGCTCTATTCTAAATGGAAAAATCTGCCTAATTCAGACATTTCCAATACACAAAATAACCCCAGTTGATACATTTTGGTTGGGGAAGGGGCCTTGACTGACAACTCAATGGTACTGGCCTTTTCATGAGTCCTTGGGTGGGTGGGCCCCATCCGCAGACTCTACTGTCATGTTCACGTACTACATGGGAAATAACAGTGGAAAGCCCTTCTGTTATTAGGCTTTTGTCCCATGAAAGTTTGCCTATAATACAATGCTCAGTCCTGGCAACAGGATAATCTGGACTACAGATCAGTAAATAATTTTGTAATTGTATCATCAGTTCTACAGTTTTATGTCTTGGACATTCAGCTGAAGCGAAGAGCTTCCACTGATCACCACCTGGTGGTGAGTTGGATCAGGTGGCGGGGAACGATGCTATACAGGACTGGTGTATAGTACAGGTGCACTGGGAGCATCTTGCAGAGGACCTAGTCTGGAAGGTGTCTGGAGGATCTTAAGAATCGTATGGCTCCAGCAAAGGAGGTAAAGTCTAAAAGTCTAGAGATGAGGGGGGTGGCTCACTCATTACTGTGGCTGAGGTCAATGAGATAGTTAAAAAAACTCTGGTGGCTGAGTCATTGGGGTGGATGAGATTTGACCTGAGTCCCTTAAGGCTCTGGATTTTGTGGGGCTGACATAAATTTACGAGACCTGTTTCAGAAAGCATAGTAAAAAATGATAGTTGATTTTTGAATATAAAAAACCTATAATCTGTCTGAACTGTCTGAAATGTTCTACTTTATATCTAATAAATATAGAATACATGAAAGTTTACTTTTCAGAATTAAATTATTACAAATTTAAACTTTTTTATTTGGGCATAAGTAGAAATCGATGACCTGTGGAGTTTTGATGATTTTGTTGTCCTAAGCCTCCAAATAGAAGAAAGCACTTTTAAAAGAAGGCTGTCTTGTAGAGATTGTAGAAGTTCTTCTAAAGATTGTCAAGTTATCAGTTTTGCTTCTAACTTGTAGAGTCCATGCCATGTCAAATACATAATTACATTATATTCACAAATATATTCCCATATAAGTACATTCAAAGGTCTTAAACTGTTGGCTTCAATACTGTTTACTTTTTAGTAAACAGTAAAAGAAAGTGAGCAAAAAGAATAAAAATGATAGAGTGAAACCTGAGATTGACCTCTACCGCTTTCTTAGCCTTCTTTGAAACTGGTATCGGCGATCTATTCAACAATAAAAGGAGTTTCAACCCTGCTGAGTGCAGCATGGGTCAGGCAGCTAGATTGAATCCAGGGTGTCTGGTTAGTGTTAGAGTTTAACAGAATACGTTAGATGTCTGATTTCACTCAATAGGGCCAGCCGCTACTCTCAGATTGAGAACGCTTTGCGGTAATGCCTTGCAGATATGCTAGTGGGGGAATATACTTACACTGCTGCAATCAGAACTACAGATCATCTTGCATGGGATCGCACAAGTTGCAACACCAAACCTTCAGACCTATAATCCAGGTCCAAGTATAGTGATGTCCAAGTTTCAATATATGCACTGAGGTCATTGTATTCTTCTTCAAAATAATGTGATATGAATCAAAGGCATGAGGTACACTCCCAGGGATGGTGTCGCACTAGTATAGAGATGGCATTATTTTTCTTGTAGTAGACAATATAATGATATGCGAGACTCTTAAAACATATGTTTCTTTGCAAATGTAAAATCTGAAATTTTTCATCAATTACTCATCAGTGAATTCATGTGGCTTTCAGACCCAATGCAATATGTAATCAATTCAACTGGACACTGATCAGGGGTGTTGGTAATAATGGGTTAAGAGTGCAGCATTGTTCCCAATGCCCCTTAAAAAAAACCATGGAAAAGCATTTTAATTTGAACTGCATGCATAGATTCCATACCATAATGAAGACGAAACTGATTGGATGGCTGTTGCACCCCACGAATTTGGTGTTTTATTAGTTTTGTTTTTAATTTCTAATCTGTGCACAGAAAATAAACCTTTAGTCTCGTATTCAATAACACCCCATCTTCACATCTTTTGGCTGCCTATTTTGCAACCCTTCCCCCTCTAAACAAGTCACTCTCACTGCTTCCTTAAAAAAAATCTTTCAAAAAGCTTCTTCTATTCTTGTACTGAAGTGTTCAGTGAAAATTAAAGTCCTTCACTTGAAAACTTCTACTGCTGAGCAGAAAATTTCGACAACCAAGGCTACAGGTGCTGCCGTCTTAAAAAGATGAAGTACAAAGACACACGACCAAGAGAATATTTCAGCTATTCTAAAGAAATGAAAATTTCATTCAAATAACAAAAATAATAATAATTTTTTAAAGAAATCACAGAATAGGTGACCTTCCTTGTTCTTTTTAAGTGATGGTGGGTTGGTTGTGCTTTTTGAGGCCAGCAGAATAATCAAATTAGCAAGCAATATTGTGACCTGCTATTATGTTTAGCTCCAAAGACTGCATGCTATTGCACATCTTTTGAGCAGAACTAGAAAAGATTGTGTGGAAAACTGAATCAGAGAAGGCTTTGCTTTTTTACAACAGCCAAACAAAAGGGCAACTGTATTACATTTTAAAGAAAAGACAAAGATTACTTTTTAAAGCAATACAATACAGTAACTGCTTTACATTTCTCTAGGTGGAATCATTATGCTGGAAATGTGGCCCTTTTACTGTTTAAATTGAGACAAAAGTCTTTTTTAAATGAATTTTTTAGTTAGTCAGAAGAAACAATAGAAAGTTTCCTTCATGACTGCCAACTATACATGCACCATGATTGGTCTTCAATGTTTATCATTGGACAGAAATCAATCACCGCTGCACAGTGATTTTTGGACATTACAACTTCTCTCATTTTTTTACTTTTGTGAATGTGAATGTGGTCTAATAATTTCCAGGTTACTGAATGACTGAGACCCCAAATTATATTTTGATTAACGATGACAACGACAACCCCGCCTCAACGGAAAGTTGGTGTACTAACTCCACTTATAGTTGCATGACACTGGAGTCAGAGCTCACCTTGGCTGTTCTCTTCCTGCATTGCCGGGCCTAGCGTGGTGCTGCAAGCATAGCCTTCCTCTTCCTGGCTTGGAGTTGTTCCAAGTGGGAAACTGACAGGACGAGAGTTGGTAACTGAACTGGATGGTCGGGAACTGGCACAGTTCTATAAGATATAAGAAAGCAGTATCATCAGCAGCTTATTAATTGCCCATTAGTGATACAAATTAGTTATATATACAATTATCATCATTCTTATGTTGCTGCCTTCTGTATCTATTCCACTTGGCACTCTTATGCATTTAAAATGTTAAAGAAAGGTACTTTAACAGTACTTTCAAGAAAAACTGGAAAATAAATACATAAACATATATTAGGAAATGTGTACTAAACTCAGATGGACAAGTAGTAGATATTTCATGTTAAATTATGCCTTTTTTCCCTTGATTACCCCTCATCAAGATTTCGAAAAATCATATAGGCTATTGTTACGTACTGTGTTATTCTTCCCACAGTGTGGCCAGCAAGCTAGAGCAGCTGATGTAGAAAAGTAAGTGAAAGAGCTCTTTGTTTTACACCATGCACATGCATCTTCCATCCAGACCAAAATAAACTGCAATCACACAAAACCCACTTATTTGCACGGCTCTCAATTGGAGTTGTGGGGTCAAGGAGGCCAATGACAAGGTTCCAGGGTTTCCTAAGTCTTGTACTGTACTATATCAGACTGGAATGTCTTTTATACCCTGCTCTTCTGTCTTACTGCAAATAGAAAAAGGCAAATGCATGCACTGCGACATGTCATTGTCAGTCACTTTAACCAGCAACATAAATAAATGGCATTTTATTAAAAGTATTTTGAGCAACACATATTTTTGTGCTACCAGATAAAGACAAGAAAGGAAACACCAACACCAAATTCTAGTCCCATTCATTTTTTTTTCTTTTAAATTGTAACTTCTACATGTAGCTTCCTATGTCTTGTCAAAACTTGAATTAAGATCAAAAAAACTAATCCACTTCCAATTTATATCTATATTTCAGTGATGTCAGGGGCACGGAGCACTAAGGGGGGGTTGTTTTTTATTTGGGTCCTACAACTGACAGCTTTATTTCACAAAGCAATCTGGCTGTGAGTGTACAAGAAGGTCAGGGTGGGTCAAGAGGTACAAGGTATCAAACAGACAGGCGACACTGTTCAAAGTGGCTGTGTGTATGTGTGTGTGTATAAAACTGTGCTCCCTGGGGTCAAACAAGAAAACAACGCTGTTTGAGATCCACACCCAAGTAGAGGAAAAGGGCTAAAGAGGTCAGCAGTGGTGTGGAATTAAAGAGGGGATAGTGTGTGATTAGGTTTGGTGGAATTTATACAAGAAGCTGTCAAAGTAGGTGGTTCTCCCTGTGCTTGTGTGGTTTTTCTCCATGTGCTCCAGCTTTCTCCCACAGTTCACAGCCATGTATAGCAGATTAATCGGTCGTTATAAATCTAGCCACCTGCAAATTCTTCAACGATAGCAGACTATAGCAAGACCAATGACTTTTAAAGTTAAATATTGCAACACCAGGGAAAAATGATGTGTTTGTGCCAGACATACAGTACTGTCTAAAGGTTTCAGCCAACACTCATTTCCACTGAACACTGACGTATGAATCAATAAAGTATTCAAAAAAAAGCATCTGAAGCATCTGAAATGATGGACCAGTGATGTGTCTACACATAACAGGAAGAAAAATACTAGTAAATAAAAATAACTTAAATACTTACTGCCAGCAGGAACAAAAATGTTCCAATTTCTCTAAATGAAATGGAAAATACCAAGAAATACTATGGCAAATTCTAAGAGAGCTATTAGCCAAACACTTAGCATATCTTAGCACAGTATGCACAGTGTGTCCTTGAGGAAACTAGACTGGTGGGGGTCACAAGTGGCAGGCCTAAAACACTATCTACAGCTGATGAAAGCATGAACATTATGTCCTTAGCCCCTTAATGCCTAATATATCATATACGGGTTTTGTGGGTTTTTGAGACTTTTATATCATTGGTGTGGGTTTTTTCTCCCCTGAAAAAAATAATAGATTGGATGATACATTAAGCTATAAATTATTTAAGAAATAGAGAAAAAAATCCAGCAAAGCCCTCACATAGGCTCTAAGAGATACATATGGTCCTTTATCTCCTGCTCTCCTGTTTCCCGAAGCCTCGTCAGACATGGTCTTACTAGAAAATTGACTGTGACGAAACCACTATTAAGAAGTATTACACAAGATAAAGCTGGCTGATGAATCCAAATTTAAAATTGTGGGTTCAAATAGTCATCAATATGTATGGCAGAAATAAACAGGGAGGTATAAAACACGGTGGAGGCTCTGTCATGGTTTGAGGCTGAATTTCAACTGGTGGTGGTAGAGATTGTGCCACCATTCATGGAATTCTAAACACAGAAAAGTACAGTTACATAATCTGGAAAGGTGTGATTGGCAACAGCTTCATTGTTTAGCATAAGAAACACAATGGCAGTGCAGTAAAAGCATAAGAAATGACAAGCTTGCTTTTGAGAGTTCAGGCTGCGTTGAAGAGTAAAGATAGTGAAACCAAATATGCACTTTCAAACTCTGTTTTTGCCTTATATACTTTTTTCCATTTATTTTTGCATATTTCAAGAAATCTCTATACATATTTCCCCTTTTCCTAGCAAAATATAAAGAAATGATGGGTGGATCAAGGCTTTTGCAGAATACTGTGCATTTATACCCTTTGCACTGTTTAGAGACACTACATCAGCCTAGAGATGAAGGCATATTCCAAAAGTCAGTACTGCGGTGGCTTTGACATAACTCGGCTTAGTACTGGCTACATTTAATATTTTTACGATAAAGGTATAAGAGGACAATGAAAGCTTAAAATGGTCTTTTTTTATTTAAATAACCACTTTCAATTCCTAAAATGAATTTATTGTGAATCATCCTTTTCGGGGTAAATCTTCACTCATGAGTAATGCAACATATAAATTCCTCTATCTCTGAAGAGCCATTTGTCTTCAAATGACCCCATATGCAGTAACACGCTGAAGCCTCTTTATCCCTCACCCGGCAAGGCACAATACCCAATCCTATGTTTTACAACAAGGGGATATATATAGGGGCATGTGCGGTCATCTAGAGCCAAATGTCTCCTATCTAACCAAAGGACAGGTAGATACAGTATTTCAAGCAGGATTTATGGCACAAGATAGCATTAGCTAAAAACTGTCAGGCAGCGGTGATGGCTAAAAAACGCATTCTGATAGCGGAACCCAGCAGGATTGGAAAATTGCCGCCACAGAGGGGAGAGGAAGCAGTAAAAATGATGGTAGATGGGGGGGGGCTCACTGATAACATGAGCAACCAATATATCAGATTGCACCAGGAGGCAAGTCCCCCCCAACCCCCCCAAACACACAACCCCATTGCATAGACATGCATACAGGGAGACATGCAGAAAACATTAATTAACCAACTTATTTATTGCATTCCTTTTTTATTATAAGGTGGGTCACATATGTGGGTTAGAATACAGAGAAAGGTGCTGTGTGGTGTGCTCCAATGGGAGCAGAGGCTTTTCATGCACATGCACCTGTGTATGCAATTGGAAGATGAGGTTGGGTATAAGTTTAATGAGAGTTTGTCAAGGCGTTAAGGTTTGCAATCGTATGCGTGTCTGACATGTGCATGTTTGTGTGTGCTACAGACTTGTGACTGCTTTTAATGTCCTTTGGTTAGGCTATAATCTCCCAAGACGCACACACACCACAGACACACGTGCAGCATCCCACAATTTCAGCCAAACGGCGTCCACCAAGGTATAAATACTGGCCTGACACTTTAATGTCAGGGGATGGCTTGTCCTGGATTAGAAACTTGTAACCCACCGTGGAGCTTGACATTGCTACGATGAAGGTGCTGCAATGGGGAGAGTGAGGAGGGCAGGGAAGGGGGGGGGTTATTATGGGTGTATGTTTGATGTATAAGGGCATCTAACACGGACTGTCGACTAGTGAGCCGATGTACAGAGACTCTTTGTGGCATTGCTGTAGTAGGAATTTTTTCTTTCTTTTTTTCATGAGAAGCAAACGCTGTAAGGAAAATTGAGTCTGTCACACCAGTGTTTATCACACACACACACACACACACAACAGAATAAAGACGTGCACACACACTTGTTCACAGGAAAATGGAAGATTACATACTGAAAAATTAAGCGCTTTTCTCCTCTCCTTGATTCTGTTGACCGTGCTTCGAACCTGAAAGAAAGACACAGAGAATGGGAGCAAAAGAGATAACTGCAGCACACGCTGAATTAAAACAAAATATCTTCCACAGCAAACACCTGCGAGTATGCAAAGTGTAAAAATGGAGAAGGGAGAATAAAATGTGGAATGGAAGGAACATATTTTGAGGGTTAGTTTGCAGACACTGACACGCAGTGGTTGGGATAGTGTATGTGTGTGTGAGAGGGTGCTCCAGCATGTCCCAGCGCCTAATGGGACTTGAAAGTGACACATAGAGCTGGCAAACTAAGGAGACGACTTCAAGCTATCATCTGTCAACACAGAGCGCCGGGACCAACAAATGGGAGCTATTGGAGGAGAAGGGACTGGCCTAGCAGAACAGATTACATTTTTACACTCAGATGAAACAGTGTACTGCACACCTTCATTTAACACATAAAATACCAGACAGAGTTGTATATATATTATAATATATATAGTTATAATAATATATATATATATATTGTTACTATAAATATATATACATATATATATATATATATACATATATATATATATATATATATTTTACAAGAACTGCTTTGCTTCGATTACATTTTGCTAATTTCTCAGTACAGTGAAATAAATATTACAGGATACCAAAATTAATTCATACATTTTTTCTATTCCTATACTTTATTAAACCAACTTTATTCTTTAATTTCTATTGGGGCACTGTTATTATTTTGTTATTAAAATTTCTTTAACTGTTTACTAACAAAATACTAATAAATAAGTAAATAAAAATAGGTTAAAAAATTGCCGGTAGTTCAGTTATTCCTATCTTCTTCAAAATCCTCTGGTACTTGTGAGAGTGAGCGTGTGTATGTTTGCGTATGCGTGCGCGCTCTTGTGTTTGTGCCCTCTGTCAGCACTAACTGTAAATTTGTATCGGCTGGGCACTTATCACTACAGCCCGTCCCAGCCCGGCCCACAACGTTAGTGAATATGCATTATGGCTTATGGCTTCATTAAGTCACGCCGTGTTATAAATTATGACACCACAGTGAACGCATACACACGGTCTCAGAGACAGCATGTGTATGCAGAAGATGTTTTGCATACGTACCACTGCTGAAGGGCGACATAATGAAGAGAGCCTAAGCCTCGTGACAAGGCAAAATCAACAATGCCAGCATTGCGTTTCAAAAACCCTTCTATTATTTCTGACAAGATACTAAGGAGGTCGTCAACACAGTGCAGATGTTGGATAGACACTATCTTAACATTATTTTAATGGGCAAAATGAGACGCGAGGGTTTCACTGATCTCAAAAGCAGCCAGTGAGCTGAGGCAATTACATGACACAACTTAATTAATCATTTGACAATGAGGGGAAGGGCATTGTTTTAGATGATCGTTATGCGTTTAAGGGGTTTGCGCACACTCAAGGTTTCGCAATGATGCAAAGGATGCAAAGCATGGTTTCCCATGTAAATGGGTGCTAAGCGATTACCATATTAAAGCAGTCTGCCCGACAACACCTGCCGACATCCTTGGAGCTGATGGAAATAAAAGGTCATCAAAGCGTGGGATTACAAGGTGACCACCAAGGAAAAGCTAATTGCAATGAATAATGGAAAGCTACTGTCAGGTAATTAGCAATTAAAACGATACATTTTGAGGGTAATAGCAGCAGATGTAGTCTCTCTTCCATACCATACACAATTGTAATTATTCAGCCTAGAAACCGGCTTCATAAATGGAGCATGTCCTGACTTTCAGGCACTAGTTAATTCACCACCTTAAGAATATCAAAGCGAAATCTCCTGACACAGAGGCGGTTAGACTCATCTGTTTTAAATGTTAACAACTAACAGCAACTTTGCAAAGTTTTTACACACAGTGTGCTCACTGTGTGTTTTGTGTACCTGCCATGTGCTATACCAGCTGTCGCTGAAAGTCCCTTCCAAGACAGCTTTTGAATGAATCAAAATGCCAGGACACCGTATATCCTGCCCATAGGATCCTTACAAAAAAATAAATAAAATAATACAATTTTTACCAAGCAAATATTTTCTTTTAAGGGGTCACGAAGGCTGAAACCTAAAGCCAACGTTGCCAAGCATCACAATCTGGAGGAAAAAGTAAAAACAAAAGAAAAGCTCCCTACGCTTCGAGAGGTGATGGCGGGGTCAGTGGGAGCAGATGAAATAATCACTCGGTTTTCTGTTTTGTTTTGTTTCCCCCAAATTTTACCACAACAGTGAGGTCCTCTTGAAAATCAAACCTGAAGAGGAGCTGCTCACAAACCACGAGGACCTCAGGGTCAAGGACAGCATGAGTGTAAGAAAACAAATTCCCGAGCACTGAAAAGCCACTTAAGCAAGAATGCTATATTGATGTATTTTACAGCGCAAAAGGTCATCCCTCCCTGGCTCTGCATTGTCAGTACGTCGCCTATGACTCAGGGACGCTGCTCTCGACGCTCTCGAGAAGAAAGGAGGGAGAAAACAAAATGGAAAAGGACAGAAAACTCGAGATGTTTTCTTTGATGGTCAGCAGCCAGGTGATAATGACAGAAAGCTGAAATAAAAGAGACTGAAGAAAGAGAAATAGAAAAGAGCAGTGGAGGACGATGGACTAATGACCAATGACCTTGTGTATTCAGTCAAAGAAAAGCCTAACAAAAAGACAGCGTATATGTGTATTCACCATAAATGAATAGCAAGCCGCAGAAACGGTGTCTTAGATTTTGCTTCGTATGCTGCATTTACATTCAGATTTACAGTCTTTTCCATTTGCTTGTTGCTTTCTTTATTTTTGCACATTTTTCAGACTTTTGAATTTTAAATTTTCACATGCAACTTTGGAAGGTGGGCCTAAGTTTAAACGCAGCATCACCTATGCAGACTTTACAAAGAGCCACAGTTGACCAAGAGTGATTTTTGTGACATGCGACTCATCCATTAAATCACAACTCTCCGTCTAGACGCTCAACCATTCTCCACCCCCGCAAAGCTATGGTTTGGTAAATGGTAATAAGGCAGTAAGATTGCATTTTATCACCCTTCATTCTATATTGTTTGTTGCATATTGTCCCCCCACCACCACTACCTTTTTTTTTTTTCGGTTCAATTACGGGTACTGCTTGGAGCCCTGCAAAGCCCTGGCCAGCAGCTTTGTCAGGATGCTAAATGGAGGGCTGTGAGTTTAAAAACTTAAAGAGGCAGTGAAATATTAGCCAATGTGGGTGAGGAATGAGTGGCTGAGAACTGCAGCGTGTCAGTGTTAAATGGTTGGACTCAGATGCATATAAGTTAGTCCAAGCATGAAGGGCAGTGGGACGCTCGCATGGAAACGATGTCCCCTCCCCTCCTTCTCATCCCTCTACCCATCCACACACACACACACACACACACACACACACACACACACACACACACACACACACACACACACACACACACTCTGGCGCACCCCACCCACACTGATTTTAAGCAAGGAGCCCATCAGAAACTTGTCATTTCTCTCATTCACTCCAACAGCCTTGAGACACAATGCAGACTTACCTCTGTGTTGTACACCCCATATATCAGAAAGATGAACAGGCCCTGTAAACACAGACAAAGAAAGAGAGAAAGGGAGAAAGAAAGAAGAGGAGGACAAAGTTGTTACACCTGTTTTCTCTCTTATATTTTTATAAAAATAAAAGAAGAAGAAGAAGAAAAAAGATCAAAACTAATGCAGGTAAGGTTGATTTGAAGTCTATTCTAGTCGCACAGAGCTGAATTAGACTTTAGTCGGAAGTAATGAGGAAAGAAGTAGGACAACTTCTCCAAAGTGGGCCACCTCTGTATAAAGCTCAGCTTGCATTTGTTTCGTCTGCAAGACTTCTTCCTCGTTGCAGGCTGCGCTAAGCCATCAAAGGCTTCAACCCAAGGTTCCACACAGTTTTATTGAAATAGAAAATCTCAAGTGCCTATATTCATACTGTGTTCTCTGACATTAAAAAAAACACAATTATATGATTGAGTACTAACAAATACACACAGAGCACACGCATTATGTAAAGAAACAGAAAATCTGTGCTCATAAATCTACGCAAATAGCAAGAAACGAGGCAATAAAGACAGCATTAACAGTGGCGTCTATTAAAACACACTCACATGTACACAGCCCCACACTCACACACACAGAAAGAGAGCAACCCGGGCCAGACGAGACCATCAAGGAAAAACCATTGGAGGAAAGCGGAGAAAGAAAGAGACAGAGGGAGCATAATGAAAAAAATGGCACATAAAAGAAGATATTTCATGTTCACAACACTCCACGGCTAGTACCCAGGGCCCAAGAATGCCATGCCCTTGGATGCATAAAGGCTGCACTTTTGGTCACAGAAAAACAGCTATTTTTCATTCCATTTCATTGTGGCATCCACTGAATGTACAAGCTGTGCATTCGCCTTCGAGCCATAATGTAATCCTGATGCCTCAATGAAAACAGTGAGAACAACATTCTCAGAACACTGATTGAACCGTGCCACAAAAGATGTACCGAGAAAAATGAAAAGGCAGTTAAAATCCTATAAATTTCAAGGCTGATAGATATGGTAGATTCTTTGATAAGAAAACCGCTAGCACAAAAAAAAAAAAAAAAAACTTTTAAAAGTACATCTCTCTGCTTTCACCGCAACCAAGTACGTCTCTGTTGCTTCATCTTTAAACCAGGGTAAGGACACATCCCGAAGACAGGCAGGCACAACCTGCCCAATGCATCAATCAAGCTGAGTTTGGAGCATCCAATTTTTGCCCGAGGAAGATCTCGATGCATCACCATTGACAACATGATTTGGGGGCCCATTCGGAGTGACAGGGCGACAGTGGCTGACGATGATGACCTCTAGGCCAAGCTACTACAAATTCACCTGGCCGCATTGTCCTCCGGGGACTGAATTGCCCCGTCTGTCGCGCAGGCTGGTGACACCTTGCGTACAACTGACAATTTCTCTTGTCTCTGCCATTCTGAAGACACAACAAGGAATCGCACACCGAGATCCGTCTGCTACATACGCATGTGAAGTGGCCAAAAATTAGATACAAAAAAAACAAAAACAAAAATATTTCTATAGCACAGTGTGACCATGACAGCATAGGTGAGGTTGGTGACCTAATAACAGTGGGTGAGCTGAGGTTTCTGGTTTTCAAAGTGCATCCCATAGCTTATACTTTAACTACCCGATACACAGGAGTAATTGGAGTATTCAGTTTCAAATGTTCAATAAAAAAAATGTTTAAAAAAAGAGCAGCGCCCACAAAACCTTGTCTTCACGTTAAATAAATAAATGAATCAACAAATGAAGGATGAGACTGTGTTGTTTTCCAAGTGTGACGGCAAGATCATCTTGTCATCTGTTATCATCTCTGCTCCAATTTACGAGCATTAGATGACACTCAGCCATCGAGCTCAAAGAGACTGCACTGCAAAGGTGAAAGGCTACTCTAGATATATGCCAAGCCTGGACGTTTTTCAGCAGTTTTTCTTAGCAGTCAATTGAATCTATACACTTACTGGTCACATTGTAAGGCACTAAAGGGACCCAAAAGTGTGCCAAGAAAATATCCCACACACCATTTCGACACTACCACCGGTGTGAACTGTTGATACAAGGCAGAATGGATCCACACTTTCAGCGTTGTATATGCCAAATTTTGACCCTAAAATCTGAATGTTGCAGGAGAAATGACCATTTATCAGACCAGTCCTCCTGTCTTCTAGTCTTTTGTTTAGCCTGTGTGAACTGTATCAATTCCTGTTTTCAGGCCGGCATGAGTGGAAGCTGCTTTAGCCCCTCTGTTTCAGGGATGGGGTGCTCAGAGATGCTGTTCTGCATACCTTGGTTGTAATAAATGGTTATTTATATATAGTTATCGTTTCCTTTCTATCAGCTCAAAGATATAGTTCTTTGGGGAATATGTTCGTTCTGAACTTCAGCAGGGCATCGTGAGCATGTCTGCATGCCTAAATGCACAAAGTTTGTGGTAAGAAGCAGTTTAACCTTAGATGTGCGTGACGAAGTGGACGGTGAGGGTATATTATTTAATGTCGGCTAGTAAAAGGCTTTTGAAAAGTAAAGAGATATGTTTTTTTGTCATTTTTTTAAAAATAATATGGACTGACTCTAAATGCGCATCACTCGCGATGTGAGATAGAATTGTTACTATAGGGCTGTATTTGGGGTGTCTGTCCTTCTGCTGATAAATATATAATAATTAGACCTCTATAAGGTAAAATGTTAAAATCTCTGATGTCCATTGAGAATTATTTAAAAGCACAAGCAAAGTGTTTATCATGTATGTAAACTCAGCGTGGCTCCATACTGTTTGCACACACAGACACATGCACACACGTTAGCAAGCACACACACACACTAACAGACAGTGGGTGGTTAATTTGCAACACATACTCTATTGTATTGCATTAGAATTGCAATTCCCAACTTATTGTTGCAATTTGATTATCATGTTTTTGATCATTCCTCTTATTTGTAATTAATCTTTTGTTGTGCAGTGAACAAAGTGGGGAGAACATAGTGTGCACATTAGGAAAAAATGATCTATTAAAATCTAATTGAGTTAAAAATAAGTGGCAGCGCAACAATAATGACGGATTGTTTAAAATGTTAATTCATTAATATTATCCCTAAAAACAAACAGACGGGAAAATGGGGCGCATTATTTAAATGCAAGCGTGCCTTTCTAAACTCTGCCGCATTTCTTTTGAACTCTGCAGAAAACGCTACAAATTTATGCAAAGAACGAACACAGTTGCTTTCAAAGTATTGCCATACTGTACATCAAACAGGGGAGCATAAATTAATTAGCATCTCACTAATTATGGAACAATTGTATGTTTAAAAAGTTACTGTGTTTGACCAAAAACACCATTGCCTCAGAGAGATGTGCTCTGCCGCAGTGCCGGGCAGGAAAGTGCATTTGTGTAAACGTGCATGCGCAATCCTACTTATCAGAGATACTGAGAGTTTTGTCTGGACAACAGAAAGAACAAATGAAAGTCAGACATCGATTTACTTTCAAGAACTCTGAGTCAAGCCATTTAAAGCGGCTAGCCCTGATATTGTTTACTACTGGCTGTTTGTGATGTTGACAACCTCCTTTGGAAATTTACCTCTGTTGTCCTTGCAACTCACTCTTCGTAAAAGCATCAGCTGAGTGCATTAAATATTTAAGGTGAGCCATTAACCGCTGGTTATACTTGTAATAAAAGCTTTATTCCTGTGTTTAAGTGTCTGCTTTGTAAGAGAATATATTAAATGAAGCTTAACTCCCTCAAATGTAAAAAAAAAAACTACAGATCTTTGGCAAATACAGACGTCGTTTTTGCCTATCTGCATGAATTAAGACGGGCAACTCCTGCGTTACTAGATAATAAAGCAGTTCGAATTTCAGATAACAGATTCAGGTGCCAGAGAACAGATCTGACTCTAGGTTTTTTCACGTTTCACAGTCATTTGATTTTATGACAAGACAAAATGAATGAGCTGGTGGCAACTGATCGTTTAGCTCAATAATATTTTCTACAGAATACAAGGTTGCTGATGGACAGTGTACAGTGCGGTACGACAATAGTTCAGCAAGATAACACAAGACAATTATTTAAAACATAACTTACACACTGGCTGACCACTAAAGGCTGATACAACTTGTGCACACAACTTCTCCTATTGTTTTAACTTGATTGTCTTTAATTGATCAACATGATCAATTAAACACAATTTTCACATTTTCAGGTATTTTCAGTCTTTAACACTGAGAATTCATCCCTGCATATGTTCAGCAGTGACACAAATCTCCAACCTGAATACAAACACTGACCACTTTTAAATTCCCTACAACAGCTCCAAGTTTCCCAAGCACATACGCTGTCCTCATTTTGACAGTAAGCCTACTGCAGGGAAGGGTGTTTTAAAAAAGCCACTTTCTCTTATAACAAAAAATAATAATAATTATACTATTTGTTTATGGCATATGCAATGTTGAACCCTTCAACCTCTCAAAGAATTCCCAGAGAATAATCCCTCTACATTTCTCCCCTCACTTACTATCAGCGCCCCTATTTCCCACTTCCATCAACCTCCCCACGTGTGTAGAGAAAGGAAGCAGAGAGCTGGCAGGTAAAAATCTCAAAAAGCAGTAGTTTTATGGCACCGTCCTTGGGAAACAAATTTTCAATGTACAGATATGAAAACTATGATTAAGGTGGAAGGGCAGTGTCTTGGCAAGGGGAGAGGGAGTGGCAGGTCAGCTTTTTCTTTCTCGCTGGAATGTATTGTCTCAGTCAGCCCAACGCTCCCTGTAGTATGAGAAGGAGCTTAAACGTTAACATGAGATATAATGACAGGGAACTCTGCTGTTCTGTCTGCTTGTTATATTGAAAAAAGAACCAGTATGGCTGCAATTTTGTCATCCTCCTTATTATTTTTACTTAGTGGTACAAATGACTTGCAGTAAAACAGATCTATATACAATAGATGTGTAAATTTTCAGCCAACCCCTTTCTAAAAATATTTTTATAACCATGGTCTTGAGCAATA